ATCCTGTTTTGGTGCATCTCTTGATTGTTCGTCAAATCTTTCCCAGCTTGATTAGAATCCACCTGTGGAAAATTTTTTTGATTGGTGATGATTTTATATAAGTTATTATGATTTGATAATATCGTATACTTGACAGACCATAACCAAGCCAAGAGGTCAAATGAATAGTTTATGTAGACTTCTGAGACACAATTTCATGTAAACAAAAACCTGGGGAAGGGTACAGAACAATTTCTGCAGCACTGGAGGTCCCAGTGAGCACAGAAGTTGCCATCATGATTAAATGGAAGAAGTCTGGAAGGAATCTCTGCCAAACCAATGTGAGCGATGGTAGAAGCTGAGCTGAGGGTAGAAGTTGCCCAAGAATCCAGTGGTCCCTCTGACTGAGCTCCAGCATTGATCTATGAAGAGAAAATAACTTGCCAGAAAGACAACTATTTCTGACGCTCTCCACTAACATCGTCTGTATGTTAGAGTGGTCAGACTGAAGCCACTCCTCAGTAAAAGACACATGATAGCTTGCATACAGTTTGCCAATACGCAACCCACGGACTTGTGGACGATTAGAAACAAAATCCCCCCTCCAGGGGCAAGGGTACCTAGACCCGGGGCTTAGAGTACGCTTGGGGAGTAATTGCATATGGAGCAACCGTGGCTCACGGTGTTGGGAAGCGCTATGGCAGCTTCGCCTCTGTCAGTCTGCCCCAGGGAAGCTGTCACATTCACACACTTCCACCAGTGTGTGAATGCGACAGGGGATGGGCGTCCAGGTACACACCGGCTCACTCCTTGGTGGCTGCTTATCGGGGCCTGGAGCCCGGGGCTCGCTCGGGCCACTTTGGAGGTGGGGTGCCCCGGCCTCTCGGCCTGGGCTCGGTCACTCTGGCACAGCTGGCTGCCGGCGGAGCTCACGGGCGCGTCACTGCAATCCCCCCTGGCTTCTGCTCCACAGCTGCTGAGTGACCCCTCATCTGGGACTCTCCTCAGCTCTTTCTGGGACAGTGGCGCAGCTGCCCCTCTGTTGGTCTTCCTTGGTCTCTTGTGTTCTGAGGGCCTCTGGATGTCTGGAGTTTTGATCTCCTCCATACCTGCTTCATGCCCTGGACGACGGAGCTGTGGCCCCCCCACACCCTCTAGCAGATCATTACATGAAGGAACCTTTTAAAAACAAGCGCGTCCATGCTCACAGGTGTACACAAGGGTGCTCACACACACAAACTACACCCTTTTTGGCTCCTACCTCAAAGCACACTGTGCGCTGTCGATCTTATGTGCTGCACAATAATGTTTAATATTTATTATTTACTGTTATATTTCCATAGATCATCATGATGTTGTATATTCTATTGCTCTCCTTTTCTTCTGCTTGTTTTCTTTTTTCTTTCTCAACAGGTGATCAAGGTGATTGATATATGTATTTTTTGTTTTTTACCCTTTATCCCCATCCCTCTTCTCCGCTGTTTTTCTTTCCCTCTTTCTTTCTCCCCTTTCTTTTCCCCAGTCAAGTCTGTCCCATATTTAGCAAGTGAAAATAAAAAAATAAAATAAACAATAAAAGGTGAATCAAAGAGACCATTACGGCAAGGCTGGGATGGTCAATTTAGTAAAGTAAATCCATTGGTCATCTTTCTTCGCCTTTAGACAATAATTCTGATGGCAAAAGAGCCAAACAGGACAGGCAAAAAAAAAGAAAAAAGAAACAAAATTTGCTGATTGAATAAAATAAAGACAGAACTGTTTGGCCTCAATGCCAAGAAACACATCTGGTGGGAAGCAGGCACCACTCATCATCTGTCCAACACCATCTGTACAGTGAGGCGGCATCATGCTAATAAAGGAGAGGCTTCGGGACCAATCTGTGAATGTCCTTTTTTAAAGGTATTATTAATCCTTTATTTATCCAGGTAATAATCTTACTGAGATTCAAATCTCATTTCCAAGACAAAATTTCCTTAAGTGGCCCAGATAGAGCCCAGACTTTAACCTCACTGAACATTGAAAAGAGCTCTTAAAAAGGTGTGCTGATGTTCCCCAACAAACCTGATGGAGCTTAAGAGGTCTGCATAGAATGGTAGAGATAGAGCCCAAAAAAATAGCTGTGCCAAGTTTATAGGATCATACTCAAAAATACTAGAGGTTGTAAGTTTGTTACAAAGGTGTAACAAAGGTGCTTTAACAAAGTATTGAGCACAGGCTATAAACATATATAATACTATTTATATATTTTATTTTATTTTAATAAAATTGCAACATTTTCAATCATTTCTTTGCCATTGTCGTGTGTTGGGTGTAGAGATGAAAATTAATTTAATCTATCTTGGAATAAGACTGTAACATAAGAAAATGTTCGTTTTCTGAATGCCTTTCCAGATGGACTGTACTTCTTTAACCCTTTAAGACCTACCATTGAACCAAGTCCGCCAGAGCTTATATTATATTTTTACATGGTGTGGTGGCATTTTTGGGAGCATTTCAAGTTGCTATACATCAATACAACAACTATAGCCCAGAATTTAATAATATGTATGCATTAAGTGAATAATAATTACATAAATTGCAAAAAAGTGCAATAAACTCCCAAAAATTTGAAAATCGTTTTTGCTTTTTTAACATATATTTCTAGTTAGAGAAATTAAACAGGCTTATCCCTCAAAACTGTAAATACAAAACAGTTGCGCAGAATAGTTTCCTACCACAGGAAATTTATTTTGAGTGTCTTCATAGTTTTATTTTTGAAATACACCAATTTTTATATACTGCAGGAAAAACGAAAATAAATGTTATAGTGCAAATTTGCAAAAAAGCAGCATATGCATCCAAATAAACATTATATTAATATATTATTAATATATATATATTAATAATATATATTAATATATTAATATAAATATTTCCAGCAGTGCAATATGAGTCCTAAGCATCCCAGAAAAGACACAGAAAGTCATAAAATCAAACATAGCTTTTAAAAACACCAGTATAGGCTCTGAGGGTAAAAAAAAAACACATTTCTGCAAAATGACATCACTTCCAGTTTCGGGCAGGTAATGGCGGACATGCAAAAGTTCGTGCTGACGTCTATTCCAACGTAGGAAGTGTTATGAACAGCTGATCGGAGCGGCAAAGCATGTTTCTGGAATATTATGTTTTTGTTGCTGCAAGTGCTTTTTATGCAGTTTTTGCAAAGCTATATGTGGAAGGAAACTGTGACCGAGGACAAGCTGATGGCATAAGATCTAAGTGCAACTCCTCCGGTTTCATATGCAAAAAAAATTATTGCGCTAGCTTACGTAGTTGCAGAGCTACCGGGATTTAAAAATAGTTACACAAAACAGAGCGTGCCCGCTCCGACCGGCTCTAAAGGGTTAACAAATATCTGTATTTTCCAAATACTGCAAAATTAGAAAAACTGCATTCCCATTAAACAAAGTACATGTGCCACACCCTTCTCTGAACTGTAACATAACAAACACGGCACTGGAAAAAATACACTTCCGGATCACTAATGCAACACCACAATTGAGACAATGTTCACCAGTAAAATTACAGTAGTAAAATTATTACAACATGTCATAGTAGTCATGGGGCTCAAGAGTTGGGAGTTCGCCTTGTAATCGGAAGGTTGCTGGTTCGAGCCCAAGCTTGGACAGTCTCGGTCGTTGTGTCCTTGGGCGAGACACTTCACACATTGCCTACTGGTGGTGGTCAGACGGCCCGGTGGCGCCAGTGTCCGGCAGTCTCGCCTCTGTCAGTGCGCTCCAGGGTGGCTGTGGCTACAATGTAGCTTGCCATCACCAGTGTGTGAATGACTGGATATGTAAAGCGCTTTGTGTGAGACAACTAATACACATGTCACTTCAAACATGATAAATATGGGTAAATATTAATTTAAATGCCATATAGAAAGACAGATTACTCACCACAGTGCAGCATCTAAACTGAAGTCACTCTGCAGGAAAATGAGGAGACAGGATCAAAAACAGGTAGCAGAAAAATGAATTGTTACATCTTTGTGTTAACAAAGTGAGAAAAGACACTAAAGTCAAAATAAACATCTTGGTGTAACCTGTGGAAGATGGAGGTCCAACAAGAAGTGAGCAGCCTACTATTGTGAATGTGAGAAAAATAACATTTCCTAATTTTTTTTATTTTGATACAGCCACATTTACAGTTCATCTGTTTTCAGTAAACAATGTTCTTTTTCTGAGAACATAATGGCTATAAAATATTGATTTACATGTGATGCATTTGAAGTTAGAAGTCATGCAGTGTCAAATCCAGGTCTCTATCAAAAAGCTATACGCACTGTACTTAAAGAGCTGCTCTGCTCCTGTTGACTGTTTTCCACAGAAAGAGGTGTGAGAGCCCATTCCAGTTTGACTTGAGTCCACAGATACTGGAAGGAGTTTCTAACTAGAGGCATGCAGACATGTTTAAAAAAAGATCTGTATGTTGTTTTGTTGTTGTTGGTAGGTGATCGTGGCTCAAGAGTTGGGAGTTCGCCTTGTAATCGAAAGGTTGCCAGCTCGAGCCCCGGCTTGGACAGTCTGGGTCATTGTGTCCTTGGCCAAGACACTTCACCCGTTGCCTACTGGTGGCGCCAGTGTCCAGCAGCCTCGCCTCTGTCAGTGCACCCCAGGGTGGCTGTGGCTACAATGTAGCTTGCCATCACCAGTGTGTGAATGTGTGTGTGAATGGGTGGATGACTGGTTGTGTAAAGTGCTTTGGGGTCCTTAGGGACTAGAAAAGCACTATATAAATACAGGCCATTTACCATTTTGAACAGAAGCCTGAAGATTCTGGGGACATGTGAAACTAAAAGTTCATAAAGTGTTAGGACACAAGACCTTTAAATGTGCATTGTGCAGTAACTTTGTTATTTTGTTACTGTGGATCATCACAAAGTCAACCTTCTGCACAGCCGTATTCTTTTTGTATGTGTGGTCGTTTTTTTCTGCAGACACCGATAAACAGAAACCAAAGAAATATTTTTCCTTCATAATCTAAGTCAAGTAAACTGACCTTTTAAACTGTAGTTTACAGTGTGGACTCTCCAGGTAATCATACAGTTGTTTCATCCCTGCGCCCTCCAGGTTGCATCCTATTAGATCCAGACGTTTCAGATAGGGGGGGTTGGACTTCAGAGCAATGAGCAGAGCAGCACAGCTGTTCTCTGACAAAGTGACGTTCTCAAAGCTGAATAACAATCATGTGAGTTACAAAGTGTTCATTTAACATGACATCACTGCGCATTTCAAACCTAGTAACACCCTTACCCAAAAACTGCGTCATCCCAAAGTCAAACCTCCCTTAAACAGTTCAACCTACATATTGTGCACTGTGACATACTTTGTGTCTGCTCAGATCTCTACATAAGGGAGAGAGCCACTCCAAAAACACATGGCACAACATAGAAGAGCCTCCTCGACGCTATTGTCAAGGCTCACACTTTGGACAGAGAAGATAGATGGTTTGAAAGAGAAGTAAAAAAAAAATGTCATCCATGTCCACTGTGAATAACCATCATGGAACGGAGGTGGTGGCTTACAAAACCAACTATTAACCAACTACCATGGTGCCATTTACTGTGATTAGGTTCCCCGGTCCACTGGCTGGAAAACACCCCCAAAGCATCAGGTTCCCACCACCATGTTTGACAGTGGGGATGGTGTTCTTTGGGTTGAAGGCGTCTCCTTTTTTATGCCAAATGAAGGAAGCATCATAGTGGTCAAACGATTCTATTCTTGTTTCATCTAACCATAACACAGAAGACCAGTAATCTTTTTCTTTGTCCAGATGAGCATTTGCAAAGGGGCTTTTGTGTGCCTTCTCTGGAGAAGCCGTGTCCTCCGTGGAACCCAGCAGTGTGCAGTGTCCGTTGGACTGTTTGAGACATTGATACCAGCAGAGCACAGATTGACCAGGATTGATGGTGGTCCTATGATTCTTCTTCACCTCTATCATTATCATCCTGGCCAGCACAGGTGTCACTTTTGGTTATCAACAATGTTCTCTGAGATTTTCCACAGTGCAAAACTTGTATTTTTGAATAATACTTTGCACTGCAGCAACTGGAACTTGAAAACATTTAGATATGGCTTTTTTACCAGCCACAATACACAGCTGCAGGTCCTCACCAAGCTCCTTTATCTTAGCCATGACTGTCCACAACCCAACTGCAGAGCCCTGTTGAGTTGGTTAAAACAGCTGTTTCCAATTAGTCAGGGTAGGATGCTTTAGAACAGCTTTGACTATTTGGAAAGAACATTGGATTTTCCCAGTGACTGTGACAGTTTGTGATGGGTATGAATCATTTTGGACCTGGCACTTTTTGCTCATATAATAATAATAATAATAATAATAATAATAATAATGATAATAATAATAAATAAAAGCTATTGTCTTTCGATAGAAACCAGATCCAACTAAAGAAAAATACCTGGTTGAACAAAGGTAACTTTTAAGTCAAAATTTGCGAGTGCTCTGAATAATTATGGGCTTGACTGTTTATGCACATACATTCATTATACAGTCTCCAAAATCACCTACTAAAATCCAAGTCTTGGTGTGGTGAAGCCAAGGTACCATATTAAATATGTTTATAAATATGTTGGATTGGTGCATCCCTGTCCTCCATCCTACATTACTGGAGTTGGATTACTTATTAGTGAAATAACTTTATAAATAACAACAGATTCAGTTTCAGTTAACTGACCTGAGTGTCTCCAGTCTACAGTTTGGATGCCCCAGACAAGCAAAAAGTTCATCTGCTGGCTCCAGCACAGTGACTGAAATCAGGTGCAGCTCTCTCAGATGGGAGCGGTCTGACGTCAGAGCTGAGGCCACAGCTCCACCCCGTTGCCCATAAATATAAACATCATGAAGTCTGTGTTGACACATAATTGCAAATATAATATAATAATAAAAACATGCTATTATGCAGAAAAACATTTTATTTATTTTGTGGACTTGATGCAAAACAACTAGATACATTTTTTCCTTCTCTGAAGGAAAGTGCAAGAGTTTATCATTTCTGTGGTTGTCATTTTGTTGTTTGTTGTTTCTTTCTACTTGGGAGCACTTTCCTTAGAATTTCCAGTTTCTAACATTTCTTCCTGTGCTAAACATGGTGACAACATTCAAGAAAACTCTGAAACTATTTCTTAATTACGTCTGTTTTTTCCTGTCCTATCAACACAATTTATAAACTGGTTAATAGTTTGAACTCCCCACTTTCAATGGAGATGCAATGAGGGTGTGTCTTGCTGCTATGTCATCTTAAATCCTTCATGTGATTTGGAAGTGCTGCTGTGCCTGTTAACTCCACAGTGCTAAAATGAAAAGTTGGACTCAGGATCAGTAAAAGTCAATCAAAAAAAGACTGCAGTGTCAGTCTTTGTCTCTGGGGCAGGGTGTTGTTTGTGGCTCAACTGCAAGGGACAAGGGAAGTCTGGCATGCTAATCATGTTTACCCTATTTCAGTTGCTGCTGGGGCCTGAGAAAGGAGTGAGAGTTGAACAACAGGACAGAGCTGTGTACAGAACTGAACTGAAGTGTGCACCTGGAAAGCTGCTAAAAGCAAACTGGTTAAAACACTTTATAAATAAACAAACACTCATCTTGCAACACTACGTGCTTGGGTCCTTCCTATCACAGTCTCATGTGATTAATTTATGACCACTCACTGTGATGTAATTAATATAATAATAATATTATTAAAACTGACTGTACTGAATCACTTGACTGATTTAATTTGTATTGCTGAAAATCAACCACTGTAACAACATGAAGTGTTATCCAATTACTTTAACATTTGGCCACAGTCACTGTTTCAGCTGAAGATGTTTAAAAATGTAATCACCCAAATAATTTTGGTTAAAAAAACAAAACAAAAAAACATGTTCACAATGTTTCCAATAAATAACTGGAACTATGTAATGAGAAGAGATAATCTTTTAGTATGAATAACTTTAAGAACTAAACTATTAATCTACACTGTTTGATAATGTTAATCAAATCTAGACTCACCGGGCCTTTCTGCAATTCATCACAGCTGGAAGCAGTCTCCGTCGTCCTTCCTTTGATGTTTTGTATTCTTTCAGATCCAACTCATCATAAAAATTTTCTGACATCAACAGCATATATGCAAGAGCTGTGCACTCAATTCCAGAGAGTTCCTTCTTTGATTTGTTCTGTGACTTCAGGAACTCTTGGATCTCTTGATGTAGTGAGAGGTACTTCATTTCCATCAGACAGTGGAAAATGTTTAGGCATCTTTCAGGACACTTGTCATCAGTTCTAAGCTCCTTCAGGTTGTTGATGACTCTCTGGATGGTTTCTGGACTGTTCTCTGTCTGACCCAGCAGACCTCCTAAAATTATTTGATTGGACTTCAGAGCGAGGCCATGGAGGAAACGAACAAACAGTTCCAGGTGGTTATTCTCAAGAACCAAGGATTCCTCCATGACTCTGCCCAGAAAATCTTCCAGAGATGAGATGTCCTCACTCAGGAAGTCCTGCAGCACCTTTGTCTTCCTGTTGGTGTAACAGTGGAACATGTAGACTGCAGCCAGAAACTCCTGAATGCTCAGATGAACAAAGCAGTAAACTGGTTTCTGGAAGATCACAGACTCTCTTTTGAAGATCTCTGTACAAACTCCTGAGTACACCGAGGCCTCTGTGACATCCAGACCACACTGCTCCAAGTCTTCTTGGTAGAACAGGATGTTCTTTTTCTGCAGATGTTCAAATGCTAGCCTGCCCAGCTTCAGAAGAACCTCCCTGTCAGCACTGCTGAGCTCTATTCGTCTCATCTCTTTCCTCGTATGGTACTTGTGATTTTTCTTTATCTGAACCATCAGGAAGTGTGAGTACATGTCAGTCAGGGTCTTGGGCAGCTCTGCTCTCTCCTCTGTAGTCAACATGTGCTCCAGAACTGTAGCAGTGATCCAGCAGTAAACTGGGATTCCACACATAATGTAAAGGCTCCTGGATGTTTTCAAGTGAGAGACGATTCTGCTTGACAGCTCTTTATTTCTGAATCTTCTCCTGAAGTACTCCTGCTTCTGGGAGTCAGTAAAACCTCGAACTTCTGTCATCCTGTCAACACATTTAGGAGGAATCTGACTGACTGCTGCAGGTCGGGAAGTTATCCAGATGAGAGCAGATGGAAGCAGATTTCCCTCAATGAGATTTGTCAGCAGCTCACTGATGGTTGACTTCTGTGTGACATCAGACACAAGCTTCCTGTTAGTGAAATCCAACAAAAGTCTGCTTTCATCGAGGCCATCAAAGATGAACAAAAGATTACACACAGTGAGCTTCTCTGCTGTGACGCTCTGTAATGTTGGATAGAAAACATGGATCAGCTCCAGGAGACTGTACTGCTCATCTCTGACCAAGTTCAGCTCCCTGAATGAAAGCAGAACCACCGCACTGATGTGTTGGTTTTCTAAGCCCTCTGCCCAGTCCAGAGTGAACTTCTGCACCAAGAAGGTTTTTCCAATGCCAGCAACGCCATATGTCAGAACCACTCTGATGGGTCTTTGTTGGTCAGGTAAGGTTTTAAAGATGTCCTTGCTGCTGATTGGTGTTTCACAGAGGGTCTTCTTACAAGCGCTCTCCACCTGCCTCACCTCATGTTGGAAGTGTACAGCTTCACTCTGCTCCTCTGTGATGTAGAGCTCAGTGTAGATCAATCTGAGGAGGGCTCCAATTCCTGTTTTATCAGTTCGTTCAATCACATGTTCATATCGTGTCCTCAGAGTGACCTTTAATACATCAAAAACTTTTTCTAGATCAGTATCTGTTGACAGAATGGAAAACAATTAAACAGAGCAAGAAAACTTAAGTTTTCATTTTTGCACAGCTGCTCTTACTGGCTGTCTGCTGAAAAGTTCTGGTTCCAGACTTGACTCCACATTGGGGACAGAAGTCTGTAGATGAATCCTTCAGGACATCCTGACACCACACACAACATGACACTGGCTTCTCCACAAAGAAATTCATCTTCTTCTCTCTGTGGACACAAACAAAAATTATTCTGACCAAATAAAGGAAGTAAAAACATTTGTAGACATCATGCAAACACTTGTTTCTGTGGTAGGTTCATAGTAGTGGGCATTCAGTTACTGGTTTTTCCCCTCAGTATCTTTCACTTATTGTGTTTTTTGTTGCCTTTTCCTGTATAAAACAGTGCATTTATTCTTAATCGAAGCAAAACAGCTTTTATGTGGGTGGCTGTTTGGTCTACTGAAATAAGGAGATTGACCTTAGGGTTTAGCCTAGCTTCCAAGAATGTTGTCTTGACTTTCAGAAAACTAGTTATTCCAAAATCTGTACTTTGTGCCTGATGATCTAGGTTCATCAAGGATAGTCTCTACAAAACCTGCAGCCTCTTATCCAACATCACACACCTCTACCTTTGCCTTCATCTTCACCTCCTCTGCTCTCTAGTTAATCTTTTAAACCTGTTTGTCTGCTGTGCTCAGGATTTCCCTCTCAGTTTGTTCGCGTTAATTCTCCATTTTCTGGAGTCTTTTGAGTTCAGCTATGGTTCCCACACTGCTCAGAGGAGCTAGCAATCCGCTTGGTTTCCACGTGTTTGGTCACACACACTCCCCAACACTGTTCCCTCTAAGCTGAGCACATGAGCAATCGCACACTGCTGACACGGTCTCCACACACAGAAAATCAGTGAAATTAAAATAAATACATGTATTTACTTTCATTTCAATTCACACTGGATTTTTTTGTGCGCAGCGCAGATGTGTGCGGAGACTGTGTCAGCAGTCTGCGATTGCTCACGTGCTCAGCTCAGAGGGAACACTGCTCCCCAATCTGCTCTGGTTTTGCTTCCTCTTCTTAAAGCAGTACAGTTATATTAATAGGGTGTCTGCCATACATGATCACATATCTGAATTCAAACAGAATCAGATAGTCGACTAGAACACAAATATCAGTGCAAACATTAGGACCTCTCAACATCAGCTGTTAATTATGGCAGAACTCAGGTGGTGAGGGTGGGTAGATGCGTCTCTAACAGCATCAGCATCAACACAGGAGCACCCCAGGGATGTGTCCTCTTGCCACTGCTCTACTCAAAGGAGCTTGCAAAGAAAAGCGTCTGGACTTCTTTAAGTTGCTTGAAGACGTTTCACCTCTCATCCGAGAAGCTTCTTCAGTTCTAAGGTCAAATGGTGGAGAGTCTAGTGGGAGTAACCCCCACGGAGGGACAAAAGGACCCCTGATGATCCTCTAATCGCCTGAGCCAAGGTGTGAAACTGGGTGTGGGTCCCCATCAGCCAGAGTTTCGGGTGTGTTCATTGTGAAACCTGGCCCACCTTATCATGCGAATTCCTGAGGTCAGATGGCCCAGGATGGGAGTGGGCGTTAAGGTGTCTGGGAAGGGATCTCAAAATGGATTATAGATGGCAGAGAGTTGGTGTCGTAAACCCCGCCTCTGTTCAAGATGGTCGCTCACAGCAGACATAGATGGCTTCTTTCACTCCTCTTTCAAACCATCTGTCCTCTCTGTCCAAATGTGAACGTTGGCATCCTCGAAAGAGTGACCTTTATCGTTAAGATGCAGATGGACTGCTGAGTCTTGTCCTGTGGAGGTGGCTCTTCTGTGTTGTGCCATGCGCTTGTGAAGTGGCTGTTTGGTCTCTCCAATGTAGAGGTCTGAGCATTCCTCGCTGCACTGTACAGCATACACCACATTGTTACGTTTGTGTTTTGGCGTTTTGTCTTTCGGGTGAACCAGTTTTTGTCTGAGCGTGTTGCTGGGTCTGAAATGCACCGGGATGTCATGCTCCCTCTACACAGCAGACTGTGTGGCCCACCACGGCTCAAACATCATTGTGAAGTTTGCTGATGACACAGTGGTATTGGGCGCCAACAACGATGAGGCGGCCTACATGGAGGAGGTGAAGAATCTGGCATCATGGTGCCAGGATAACCACCTCCAGCTGCACGTTGGCAAGACCAAGGAGCTGGTGGTGGACTTCAGAAGGAGTCAGCACAGAGACTGGAGTTCCAGTGGAGAGGGTGCAGTCCTTCAAGTATCTCGGTGTCCGTATCTCCTCAGACCTGACATGGTCTGCCCACATTCAGGTCCAGACGAAAAAGGCTAGGCAGCGCCTGTACCACCTACAACAGCTAAGGAAGTTCAGGGTCTCTCCAGTGATCCTCAGGATTTTCAATACAGGCACTATGGAGAGCATCCCCAAACAGAACATTACATCGTGGTTTGGGAACAGCTGTGTTAAGGACCAAAAAGCTCTCCAGAGAGTGATCCGTACAGCAGAACGCTGCTGCAGGATTGCTCTCCCACTGCTTCAGGACACCTACACCAGGAGATGCCAGACTAGAGCAGCGCAGATACTGAAGGACCCATCCTATCCTGGCAACAAACTGTTCCAACTTCTGCAATCTGGTAGAAGGTTCCGCATCATCCGGGCAAGGACAGAGAGACTCAAGAGGAGCTTCTATCCCCAAGCCATCCGGGACCTAAACCATAACATCACAGATTGCCTCATGTGTGTTATGTCCAGTTTTGCTTCCTCTGTCTAACTAACTAAGGGAACCAGTCTACTCTGAAGTGTTGCATCTGGGCTGTATTTAAGCCAAACACGCAATAGACATTAACACAGCTGTGTTAGTGGTTTTGGGGGAATCATTGCTTAATTCAAGGGCGTTAAGAGCCTTCTCAGAGAGACTGTGTTTAGCCTCGATCTTTTAAGAATGGTGTCTTTAATGTTTGTAAAATTTATTTTTTTTAAATTGCAGTAATTTCATTCCTACCAATCTCTGATCTGCTTCAGAGGAGTATAAGCACAATTCAGTGACTCCACCCCTGCGAACTCTTTTGAAACAATACGAAATATTTGAAAACTAAAAGCATCTTCACTCAGTTTATAGCCAAAATCAGCCTCTTACTGTGTGATTGGGGGTCCAGGTTCATGACTGAAGACTGGAGGATATTCTCTGGACTTGTCACTGTTCATGGACACAGAGCTGGATCCTGGAAACTCTGCTTGGTGTTTGTGTTGTTTACGTCTGTAAACACAAACATAGAATAAAGAGAATTAACCAACGTGCCATGTTTACAGGGATTTATCAGTCTAGCTGTGAGCACATTCACATAAAGGCAGTTGGCAGCATCAAACCAATCAGTCACAAATAAGTGTACTGATAGTACAACAGTTATTTTATCAGGAACATAAAACTGCAAAACTTAATGGAAAACAAATATTAGGCGTTCAAACTCATAACACAGGCTGAAAGTAACACAGCTGTGTCAGTGGTTGTTTGAGGAAAAGCACTGTATATGAATGTTTTAATGGTTAAGAGGCTTTTCATAAAGACTATTTTATGTTACTAAAGCTTATTGTGTCCACTCACCATTTTCACATTGTTTATAATAAAGACAGTCTCTTAATTACTACAAAACTTCATAGGAAAACATTTCAATGGGTTATACACAAGTCAAGGACCCTTGCAGACCCCTTTGAAATAATGTGAAAGACTCGAAAACTAAAAGCATCTTCACTCAGTTTATAGCCGAATCAGTCTCCTACTGTGTGCCTGAAGGTCCAGGTTCATGACTGAAGACTGGAGGATAATCTCTGGACATGTCACTGTTCATGGACACAGAGCTGGATCCTGGAAACTGTGGTCTGTGTTTGTGTTGTTGATGTCTGTAAAGACAAACAATGAATCCAGAACAGATTATTCTTCTACATGTGCCTGTTGTTGGGCATTCAGCTGCTTCTCTCTCTCTGTCAGATTTAGGAGACTGAAAAACTCAATTTTCTCTCTACTACTGTACTTTCTGTAGGGCAGGCTGTCACCAGGGTAATCGTTTTTAACTCACTTTCAGATCTTCATTTAATATTTCAGAGATTTCCATTTAGATTTTTCTATTATATACACAAATAATCTTTCTCTCATTAGTATTCAATCATCTTAACATCAGTTACCAGGATAAGGAGTCACAGCTTGTATTATGTTCCTTCATAAAATAAAATACAAAACTCAATGGAAAACAAATATCAGGAAGTCAAAAACATAATACAGACTGAAATACATAATACAGCGTCAGTGGTTGTTTGAGGAAAATCACTTGATATGAATGTCTTAGTGCTTTAAGAGCATTTTTCAGAAAGACTTTACTACGTTACTAAAGTCTGTCCTCTCCTTTCACCATTTTCAATTTGCTTATAACAGACACAGTTTCTTACTTTTTGCCTGATGGTCCAAGTTCACGACTGAAGACTGGAGGATAATCTCCTAATTTGTCACTGTTCATGGACATAGAGCTGGATCCTTGAAACTCTGCCATGTTCCCCTGCAAAACACTCATCTTTAGGCTTCCTGGGAGAGAAACAAGGAACTGTGACTGTGAGCACGGCAGAAAAAAACATCAGAAATATTTTTAAAGAAAGCCATAACTGGCAGAACAGGAAACACAGCATACACACACACACACACACACACACACACACACACACACACACACACACACACACACACACACACACACACACACACACACACAGAGTTAGCTTGTATTAAACCCTCCAGTTTACTCTCCTACAGCTCACTGAGAGACAGCTCAGCACAAGACGTTAAAATGTCAGTCTCACCATTAACCAAAGATATAGTTTCATCCATCATGTTTCGTTCTTTTTCGTTCCATGGTGCAACAAACTCGAGTGCAGAAATAGACCATAACAATTTCCAGCTTTTTGTTCCACCTTGAGAAACATTAATGTAATATCTTCCAGTAAGAAATAGTTTTGCTATTTTTCCGACAACCCATAAATGCTCAATAACACTCACCTCTTTTTTCACTCGTCTGCTTCTATGACTGTAGAAACTGAAATTACAGTACTTTGTTTTCTCCTCACCTCAGCAGAGCAGCTCCTCCCCTCTCCACAGGAACTTGTATGACTACATTCCCAGTGTGCAAGAGAGATATCTTTGCTTGAAAACAACAAATATGAATGTAAATGACTAGACCTCCTAAACACTATCAATTTATATTTAATTCAATTCCCTTCTAGCATCTAATAATAACAACATTCATCTCAAGGCAACTTATATGGTAAGGTAAAGACCATACAATAATAAAGGAAAAAAAAATAACAAAAAAACCCCTCAAAAATAACATCAAGACAAACTTATTTGAGCAAAGGAAGGTAGGAAGGAAACTCCAGCAGTATTAAGGCACATGGAATATTCTGGAATGTTCTATCCTATGTGCTTAACAATTCCCCACCATGTCAATGAAAGCAAAGCAAAAGCATGCCAGTAAAGAGTACTTGCCCAGTCTGTGCATTCTGTGACGTACCTTTGTGTAACCAGTAGACACACAGCAACGCTAAATTTAGCCACACAATGAACAAAATAATGCAAACATGGAAAAGCTGATTCTGTGCACATCCAAGATCAGTGAGTTTTATGACTAAAGTGTAAGTGCAAATAGGCACCATCAGAAGGAAGTAGTGGAATTGAAAGACACTGCACTAGTAGGGATAGTTTCAAAGCTTTATGGATGACAGATTCATGTTTTCAAATGACAGCGAGCAAACACTTCTAGTACATGCACAGGGGAGCAAAAAATGACATACAGTGTCCATGTGGTGTGACAGTGTGTGGTATGTGAGAATACAAGAGAAAGATGCAGAGGTAGGAGGAGATTTAAAGAAAAAGTGAGCTCTTTTATTGAGCACATGAAGCTCAATAATCCACAAACAAGGGTGAAACACCAAACATTACAAAAAACAATGTGATGGTTTTAACTCTGACCGTTTAATGGAATGAAACCATTAATAGGAGCTGACACAGTACAAACATACAGTCACAGGAGCTCAGTGTCAGAGAAATAGACAGAGAGGTATTAAAAGTGAGGATAAATAACACAGTTTATCAAGACTTTGCGAATAAAAAAAACAGACAGTGTTGTTCTCTGATAGCTGTGACAGTTTCAACATGTCTCCCAATTCTCCTCTGACTAGGGACAAACACATGAAACTGAAGATCAAACTTGATGGGGGTTTTGTGTGTGCAGAGATACAGTACATTCTTTCTTATATGTATGAATGTATATATTATATTCTTTCTAATATGAGTGTTGGCTATAAAGTGGATAATGGAAGAGAGACCTTATGAAACAGATCATATGATCCACATGTTTTTTACTGAGTGTTACCAAAAGCTGTTGAACTGCATTCCAGTCATGCTAGGACATGTTCACTGAGTTCAGAGATTTTTATTTTCATTTTTAAATTCTGCCCATTCTGGTAGCTTTTGCAATCAGACTTGTGATCTGAATACGCTGTTCTGCCAAACACACTTTGCTTTTCAAAGATCAGCTCTATAAACTTTCTATAGGCTCCTCTAGATTTCTTTTACCTGTTCATTTCATCATTTCAATTTATTTTATTTCAGTTATCTGGTATGTGGTATACAGTATGACAATGACTAAGGCAGGAGAGACAGAAGAGGGGATAGGGAGGCATAGGGGAAGATGTAATAAAAGAATAGAGTAAAAATATAAATGCACAATATATCACCAACTGTCACACCTGCAAGAAAAATGAACATACACCACCTGGATCACAAAAAGTCAGCAATGCATCTTCTTGTGCTGTGTTTCTGTGTGTGATAGAGAGTGTGTGTCTTTGCTGTTCTTACGGCCAAGACGGAGAACGAGGAGGTGGGCTCTAGTAAGGAAGCTCCTGTGGTCCTGGGCTCGCTGAGGACTGGCTACCTTGGAGTTCAGGGCTAAGAAGAGAGCCAATGGTGTGACGGATAAGGGCCGGTGCAGCTGTTAAAAGGAGGACAATGTGCCAGGTGAAGGGGAACGCCTTCACCTGAGCCTGCCAGTTGCCTCCATGTCGGACGCCTCTAGAGACTCTGTTTGTTGCACACAGCCTGAGTGTTAGTAGTGACAAGTGCACTGGCTGTTTGCCTACACATTGCTCCAGCTTTGTTGTTTTATGTTTTGTGTTTGCCACTGTTAATGCCACTGTTTTGCACATGTCTCAACTCTGTATATTTTTATATATTTTATTTATTGTTGACTCTATTTAATTTGTAAAATATGTGTATACACACACACACACACACACACACACACACACACACACACACACACGTAGAAAAACATTTAGTATACACATCCAGAAATTTTTTTTAATTTTTTTTTGCATATACTATTATATATTGTACATATATTTATTAGTTCAGATTTAGCCATTCGTATATTTTGCCTGTTTATGTTATTGTATTTTGCACAACTCTGTTGCTTGTGAAGCTCGCACACAAGAATTTCACTCGCATGTGCTGTACCAGTGTACCTGCACATGTGATGTGACAATAAAAGTGATTTGATTTGATTTAATAAAGTCCAAACCTCAGACACTGACCGAGTCTCTCGCGTTATCTCCTTTTGTCCCTGAGCTGGGCGGTAACAGCCGTGAAAATGTACTTGAGGGTAGGAAGCAAAGAGGCGATGGTTTGGTCTCTTTGATTATAACTTCTTGATGTTTGCAGAATAGATAAAAAATAATATAGAATTAAACAAAAACCACACACACACTTTATGTTTAATAATGTACAGCACAGTTCAAGCTTTGAAATATTCTTGTGCTGTTCCAATGGGGAGGTGAGTTTTGCTATAATATCACATTATTATTTATATGTATAATGCATTGCTTAAAGTACACTACAAATCTTTTGTTTTGCCTTTTTTTTTGTCACCATCAGCTTCAAACAGACCACCACTAACTGTAAGTAACTTTAGGTCCACTTCATGATTCACTGCGAAGAAGATGAGACTGAGAACACTTTATGATCTGTTCACATGATCATGAGCTCAGTTGTAACTATGCAAACCTGTGACTGTAGGAACTGTTGTTAGATAACTTCAGAAAATAATTACATCTCAGCTGTACCATGCAGGCAACATTAGTGCGCTCCAATAGCACATAGTACATAGTAGAGCGGTACAAACTCTAGCTCACCTAACAGTGGATTCATGGTTTTGTATCAACAGTGTAGATGTGTTGTAACTGCAAACATTTCTGTCACACACCATAACGTACGTTTACTTTCTTAGAAATGCAATTACAAATTACTTTGACACATTCAGCAATATAAGCACTGTGTATGAGCATAAATGTTGACAACAAGGTCGACCTCTTATTTAGAGACGTGGAGGATTGAATTCTCACCAGGTTAATTCTCATTGCAGGCTAAAAGGGTTTGAAATCCAGACTTTTATGTTTAAAATGACAGAGTCTATATCTGCTTTTGCTACTAATAAATCATTTTGTATTATTAATCAAACTTAAATCAAAGTTTGAGTGATGATGACTGAGAAATACAGTTAATGTAATGAAATGGTTCTAATACCTGATCTTCTGACAAATCTAATGATTTTGTGTGTGTGCGTGTGTGTGTCTGCTTATGTGCTGTCATTGTTTGTACAGGCGGGGAATTCAACAGTGGCACAGAGCCCAGATCTTGTCTGAGAACTTTAGTGCTTCGTGAGAATGACTAAGCAAATATTCACACAATGTTTAAATCTAACATGTATGATTTAATAAAAGAAATTAAATCATACATGTTTAATGAAAATGTCAGGGTTTTCCTATAGGTCTACAGAGGACCCATATGTGTGACATCATCCCCGAGCAGCTGCTTTGTGAGTGGTTGTTACAAACGGGACAGACAGCGTGTGCAGCGTGCCTGATGATGTTTGAAAGGTTACCAAAGCGCAACTGCAGCTTTTCAAACGAACTGCAAAAGAAATTTCCCCCGTACAGTCTTGGTACTGGTAATTTTTCTCATACAGATGAGATCTTATTTCTGTGCCCTTATTTAATTCCAGAGGTTTTTAAGGTTTATTTTTCCCTTGTTGACATGTAAAAGCCTATATGACATTTCTTTCATTTCACCGTCCATTAACCGCACAAAGAAGGCACCCTGTAAACCCCTTGTGGTGTCCTCGGGTCAAAATTGGTCCCTAGGTGAACGCCAAACAAGTATATGGGAATCCAGAGGACACAGAGTTCTTCATGACTGGGCCAAGTGTCTTCTTTTTTTTAGAAATCAAAATATTGTCACCCTACCATATAGCGTGAAATGGAATTAAAAAATAAAAAAATAAAAACGCCCCCTACTGGTGAAACTAGAAGTTACAGCAAAGGAGCTGCAACTGTAAAACCTGCTGATTTCTAACAAATTGCCACTTAGAGGTAGGGACAGGCTGCATTTTAGCCACATGCTGACTAGTTTCAGTCTTTCTGAAAATATGTGAAATGTGCTTTTTTATTTGTGTGTTTAGTTTAGTTTTGTTT